GCACCCCGCGCACCCCGCCGCTGCGCCAATAGTGCCTCGCTGCAGAACATTCGCCGCCAATCACAAACCATTCCGGCACTTCTAGCTGTCAAACTGAATGGCTTTAAACCAAACTGCAACAGTTTTTTTAAATATTTTGTTCGGGTATAAAAAACAATTTACATTTGTGTAAGATGTAATTAAAATAAGAATATTTACTATTTATTAATTTCATCAAACATAAAAATAATTATATAAGTTCAAAATAATGTATTAATTTTACTTAACTTAATTTATATAAAGGCTTTTATTCTTCTTTACTTCAAGAAGTTTAATTACTTGTTATTCCACATTAATGATATAAATGTAATACATATATATATTTAGTCACATAATAGTTTGATTACAAATGTTCTAGTACTGGAACATATTTTTATCACATTTAAAAAGTTTAAAAAATATATTCAATAGTTGAGTTTTTAAAGAGAAAACACTTGTAATTAATGACATGTGTATGAAGACAGATTAATATATTTACAACAAATTTCAACTAGTTATAAAATAATTTGTATTTTTACATCATTATTATTAATATATCCTGTATATTCTATTGTTACATCAATAAATTATTTTCATTTTCATATCATGAAACAAATCCATCTTTTTTAAACTTTTGGTAATGCATGAAAAATCTTATTAACCATTTCCAATAAGAAACTTGTATGAATGAAATCTTCAAATAAAGTTCTTATTTTTCTCAAAGTAGAATTGTACGAAGTTGTGTTACACCGGCCACGTGGCCAACCGGTATAGTCTGTCCTTCTTCGACCCGCTACTTGTCTCTCTTTCGCGTTTCATTCATCGACGTAAGTCGTAACCGCGGCGAGCACGTGCGCAATAACAAACTTTACGACCATTTAAATAAAATCGTTTATTGTGTGGGAAATTTATTTATTTACATCGCTTTCGATTGTTGACCGCGTTTAGTGCATGGTTTTTATGGGCTTAAGTTGCCTTTTCAGCTTTATCAGGTCGCTAGTACGACGGTGAGGCAGTAGAACATTGCATAAGTATAGGTTTTATGTTGTTATTGTGATCTTTATGCCACAAATGTATAGGGAGCAATGATATGGCCAGTTAGGGTCATTCGTTTTACGATAGGTGCAATTTTTTATGTCCATTTAATTGTTTTGAATTGTAAATACGGAGGTTAACGTCTATTTACGTCCTTATCTATTGTTTATTGTGTAGAATATGATTTTTATTACTTCATCACATTGTAGTTACTATCGCAATTAAGATTAACCTTTAAGTTTATTTACAACGTTATTTTGATACAATGTTGCTTTAGACGTTGTTTTTTTATTGATTTTTTAATCTAAATTACGCTATTAAAATAAATAAGCAAAACAATGTAATGTATTCAATACACTAGAATAACGTAATGAAATGTTAAAATTAAATGTGTACAGTCGCCTTCTTACGCGGTGTTCCATATACAGAAATTCTCTTACATCTCGCATTGTACTAACTCCACCTTTCAATTTAATCAACTATCATTGATTTTACCAATCAAGTGCCTATTATTATTTCTTATTAAACATTATTTCTGTGTATTTGTTTCAAGGCTCAGGTTTCAGACGTTGAATATCGCCACCGAAGATAATTATATTTAACTAAATTGTTTATATGTTTATTAGGATAGCTTTCTGTACTTGTAGGCACCCATATAATAGTTGCTGTCTGTTCTATTCAGAATCTATAAATTGCCAAAACTGAATTTATTGCTAAAAATATTATTCTTTTTGTAGGATTAGGATTTAATTAGGATTTGTTCAACCACAAGGAATTTACGATAGACGCTTCCAGAAACTTTTATATGTCTCATTGGAAACCTATAAGGCAATAAAATCTTATTAGAATTTTAGATATTAAATAAATAATTATCCTATCTGATTATATACATGTGCAAGGAGTTTAGTGTACATAGAAAGGTACTCTTATTTAATGCAGAATGTTTTGCTCTAGCATACACATAACCTTAAATATTGTTATAACAATTTATGTATCCATCTAACGAACTGGCTCGTTCACCAACAATATTGTTGCAGGAAAGCTGTGAATTAACGTGTAATGTACTCGCATTGACGACGGTATAGAAGACTCGAAGTATTTTAACATCTCAATAACATTAAAAATTTTACAGGCCATAACAATCCATATTTTGCTCATATAAAGTTTACGATATATAATAGTGGTTCACGTGCACCGATATTATAGCATAACACGTAAAATGTAACTAAACGCGAGTGCAGGCTTTGCACACCAAAGAGACCGGTATACCATCACGCCCCATTTTATAGGGGATCGATGGGTAAGAGGCCATCGAGCGAGCCACAAAGTCCCAGGTGGGTGGGGCGAACGTCCATCGTAAAAGTTCTCGACTCCTGAGAAAATTTACAACTATCGGTCCGCGAGATTTAACGATCAGTTTATAGATCCGACGGTTTCCAATTCGATATAAAGTCAGTCTGTCAATGTGACGCCCATCTGGACGCGATACGGGACAGATATTGCGATATCGCCCATCACTGTCTCCCTAGATTACTTACTCACATGTTTGTCTAATTTGGATACTACTTCTTGTTTTACAAAGCAAAACACCTAAATAACATTATCTTATAAACAGTGACATATTAATTCAACAAAATTGGATGAAAGCTTGAAATAAAATCACGTGTATTATTTAGTATGGATTTTATTTTTTAGAACTCCTTTTAATGTGCAGTAAATAACTCACCGTTCATTCAGCATCAAAACCTGTAAACAAAGAAAACAGTATGAGTTAAAGCTAAAATATAAGTTACGTTAATTGTAGTCACTTGTAAATTTTCTAATTCGAATACAACCGATGTCGAGGGGCCATTTGAGGAACAGAGTTACATATCTTATGAGATTTCAGAGATTTAACTGTTTTCGCTCTGAGAATTATTTTTTTAGACGTAAAAATTTATTTATTTCCTTAACGAGAAGAAGAAAATTCACTTACTTAAGGAATTTATTTGTCTATAATAACATTTGTTATAATGCAAGCGTGATATTTTTCTTGTCTTAAAGTAATAGCCTTGAGGAAATATTACCAGTGAGATTAACTCATGTTTTTACTGACCATTATACAATTAGTTCGACTTATCATTGCCCAGTTATCTAGATATATTCCTCTAGTTCAAGAAAATAAAAAAAATGTTATCGATAGTTATTTCTCAAATAAATCATTAATTAAAATGTAGGTATACAAAGGTAATGACTGAACCCATTTATTATTTTTGTTTCTACATCATCGATAAACGAAGCCCAGTAGAGCGGGCGTAGTTGGTATATAGGATATTTATTAAGCCATTCCGGCGGTGTACAAGCCGGAGGGTAAGTAGAAAATTTTAATTTCACGTCTAGAGGCGGCCGGGGGCGCGGAAATTTGTGTGGCATAATAAGTGAGATTGTTGCGAAATTTGCTACAAGAAAAAGAAAGAGGGCTCGCTACACACTAGCGCGTTGGAATAATATAGACCTTCCCCGGTGAAATATCGTCATTTTACTGAGAGAAATTCAACTGCCAAAATAGAATTAAAACATGGTTTTATCTTTGTTTTACTCATTATACAAAGTTTCAATAAGACCAATATACTTTCGCTAATTCACATATCTTCCCCTTCCTATCTACTTCTTATAAGGATTCGACAGGAGAGGGGATGTAGGTACAGAGAAAGCTCAGAAGGTATGCTTTATCTGTACATGCGCTGTTCTTGGTCTAAAAGAAGGAGGATAGAGGAGGTATTAAGAATATAACGTAATTGAATCCTTAAATGCAGTATCATACGGTATATTTTTTTTAATATTTGTAGATAAATATTAATGTGTCATGATGTTAACGAATATTGTTTTCACTATGTTTTTAATTCAATTATACATTTTTGTATGTTAAGTATGTCCATACTAAGTCCGGCGAGCGCACGTGTAAGTGGCAGCTTCAATATTTATGTGCAATTTTTGGAGCGCCGCCGCCCACCCCGCTGCCCCGCGACCCGCGCGCCCTCTATAAAGGATGCAGCGCTCCATCTTCCCAGTTCGAGCACGCCCAAACTGGCTATAAATGAGCCCAGTTATGAATACGCTGCAATTATTAATAACCTATCTACTCGCTGTTGAAAAACTTCGACGTATTAAATGAATTATTCTTATCTTC